GTTGCCAGCAGTCAAATCGTCGTTTTTCGCTCACGTAGGTTGGTATTGCACAACAAACAGCGGCACTATACGCGCACACAGCACACACAAGAAGGAAGGGATGAAGAAGTACGGTGGCGGCACCCAGACACGGGGAAAAAGAGTCCACATCGATTGTGTGGCCTGTTGACTCATAGACGTCCGGTTTGTAATCACGACGCTGCCCTGCAATTCGTCAGTCTGCAGGAGACTGGGGAACGGAGGGAAGGGAGAGAGGGTCGGTGCGGCCCTCATCCATCTCGGTTGGATGTGGCACCGCTAACGTCATCTCGCCAGATTGCCTGCAGCAAAGACTGTCGCATTCAGCAGAGGTTGGTGCCTTCCTTCTCCCACCGGGCGCCACTCCACCAAAGCCGTCGCTCGCCGCCTCCCCCACCAACACAACGAGGGAGCAACAGCGGACGATCCGACACGTGCGACGAGCACGCAGCCGCAGAGTCCCACTGCAGCCGCAATGGCCAAACAAAACAGGGGTGCACAGAGCACTTTATCCAAATCCTCGGCCGTCACACTTTTTAGAAGGAAGGATGGAGGGAGACATGCCGACAGAACCGTCAGTTTCATTCCTGCCTCTGGTTAGAACACAACAACAAGACAACAGCCAGGCGCACAACAATGCGGGCAAGCGCACACACACACACAAATCGTCGCGGCGCTGTCGGTGCGCGCACGAGGAGGAGGATGCGGCGCCCCACAGCAGACACACCATCGCGCAGTGCACACACCGCAAAACAGCATCCACAAAACAAACGCACACGCCGCAAGCAGTCACCCACAATGGAAGATGAGAGGTGACACACAGCTCCACTGCCTCCAGTTCAATCCCACGACCAACGGGATACGGCCACAGCCCGGAACCAATACAAAACGCACACGGAGCAAGCAATCACCCAAAGAGCCACACGCAGAAGCGATTCCTCATCCATCCATGACGCGGCAACAACATTTCCAGCCATTCCACCCACAATGGGATTCGGTGCCCGACTCAAAGCGGTCATAGGTGGTGCATCACGCCTGCAGGAAAAGTGACTCGCCGTGCGCTCCCTCTCTCCTCTCCTCGCTTCATGCCCACAGAAGGAGGCGGCAGCCACCAGCACGCACTAAAAAAGAAGCATCCAAATCCACTGCAATGTGTATTTTGTGTGGTTGTGTGTGTGTGCCTGCAGTCACACGAAGCAAAGAAGTAAAAGCAGGAGCAGAGCATGTGAAGAGACGCACAAACAAAAAATGTACAGCAGAAGTGCATGGCAGAAATAACAGGACTGCTCAGACTCATGATATTGCACTGCAGGCCAAGCAGCGGCAATTCATACAAGATTTATTTAAAATAATTAGAAAAAACAATTCCCTTTCATCAGATATTAATCCCCCCCCCCCTCGCACAAAATAATTATATAAAAGAAAAACTGTCGTCCTCTATTACTGTTCCACACAAATTTTAAAATAAAAAAAATTTCACCTGGTTACCGTGTGGCCACACCAAACTGTTTGTATATTTTGCCCGCAAATTAAAATTTAAATATTTAAATGTCTTTCAACCGTCTGAGCCTCCATGTGTCCGCACATCGTTTATATTTCATGTGGTCATCTGCGTGTTGCTGCTCCCCTCAGCCCTCTCATCGGCGTGTGAGTGCGGCCCGCAGAGCACAGTCACTCGTGTGTGTGGGGGGACTGAGAGAAGCACGCAGACATGACGGGAGTCGCGTCACTCCATCGGGAGAGTGAGCGCAGCAAAAGAAAAAAAAAAAATCATCGGAGGGGAGAGAAACGCTGACGGGACTGCCGGCGCGTTAAATGCGCACGTAAAGCAAAAAAAAAAAAAAATCCCAAAAACACGGCGGCAGGGTGTGGCTGTGTGTGTGTGGCGCTGCGGGTGTCTGCCCGCCCTGGCCGCAAAGAAAACAAAACAAGAGGGAAAGAAATGTGTGCTCCGCCCCACAGGCCCTCGTCGCACGCCCACACGTCACGGCTCCCTCAGCGCGCCGTTCGTCGCGGCCCCTCCTCATGCGTGCAGCAGGCGAGGCGCACAGGGCCGTCGTCATGAGCGTGTCGGTGGGTGTGCGAGTGGAGCGGTTGGGCGGGAAACACACGGCACCCCTCACAGGAAGAGTGCAGCATAAAACAATTGAAAAGAGGGAAGAGTAGAAAAAAAAGAAAAAAAAACCGCCCATAGTGACTGCCCCCAAAAAGCAAAAAAAAAGAAAAAAAAGATGGGATGGCGGATAATAGAAAAAACGGAAATAAAACATTTTTTTTTTTTTAAGCAAACAAAAATAATTAAAAACAAACATAAAAAAAACATAAGAAATTATACTTCGAACAAAAAAGAAAAAAAATTAAAAGCCGGAAAAAAAACCGCCCATAGTGGTTGCCCTAAAGCAGCAAGGGGAAAATGGAAAACATTAAAAGAAAACAAAAACAAATTATTCTCTGCGTAGTGAAATTTATTCCTAGCGGTGTGTGTGTGTGTCGGTGCAGGAGTTGGGGGTGCAAGTATTCCACACTGAGGCCGCACACTCCTCACGCAGCCGCAAACCCCCACAGTCCCAGCAGAAGAAGCAGCGACAGCAGTCCGCTCCCAGCAGGCGCATTGGCTCGCACACCCTCAATACGAGGGATATGACTCCTTCCCGTTCCACCCTCCACCTGTGATCCCGGGCCTCTCTTCGGAACGGGGATCCTGTCCTTGATTGCACGCATCTCAGTGGAATTCAGTGGGCGGTTGTACAGAAAGACGTTCGCCACCGTCACAGGAGAGTGTTGGCCGGCGGCCGTTGGACTGGACTCCTGAACGCACGCACCAAAGCAGAAGTGCACAAGCTCAAGTGACTTCTCATCTGTTAGCAGCACTTCTCCTTCCCCCAGCGACCGACCATCAATGTGCACAGAGGCCTTTTTGCCTTGGAGCATGAGTGCCACTTGGTATTCTTTCTTCGGCTCCCAAGTGCTGCTCCTTGTTGTTTTGTCTTTGAACACCGTCTCCATCTTCTTATCCGCGGTATACAAGATTCCCATGGTATGATTGGACTCAGTGTCCGCCAAAGTCGCAGTCAGTAGAGGAGTTTTCCCACTCGGAACATTTTCGATGCTCACCGTCGCCACAACTGTGAAGTCGTGGCTCAAAAACACATGCCGCAAATTATCACCCCGAGATTCACAGGCCA